AATTTCTTCATGCCATTATGCCAGGTCATCGATTGGACACCTTGCGGTTTCGTCCAACATGGTGCAGCTAGAAAGCCGATAAACGGGCATACGGAAGACATGATTTAATCAATGTAAGCAAACATCCGAATGAGGTATCAGAGGGGTTTTTTCTAAAAACCAACCGGCCAGCCACAGATGGGAGTAAAAAATCGTTAGCTATACGCTGTAACGGTGTTTCGGTGCCGCTCGACCAGCACCAGCCGCATGTGGACTGAGTATACCACGAAGACGCCTGTCTCTACGCGGATTCGAACCGGTCACCTTATGGTTGCAAGCCAGGCGTGTAGACCAGTCGACAACCGGCCCACACAGGCGGGAGTTGGCGGGTTTGCACCAATTCTACCAGGGACTGCCTGGCTTGAAGCAAGCAATAGCAAACCATTGAACACCTGGCGGTGACGTTTCGCCGTTAGAGACAAGGTGTGGCGTTCATGTTCTGCACCAATCGAGCTGTAAGCCTAGAACTCATTGACTGTTAATCGTATGGTTAGATTTTAGGGGAAGAGGGCCATCGACCTCTCCAAAATATCAGATGTTGAGACTGAGTTAGTCTGAGCCCTGACCATTGACCTGTCTGGTATGAGTGGCACTGAAAACATTTGGAAAGCGCCACGCATCGTAGCTCAATGGGTTACGGAGGTACGCAAAACACAGTACTAAGTCAAGGTTTGGTCTCGTCGCGATAAAACAATAACAATAGCATAATAATATCAGTTTGTTAGTTCGCTGGTAGGGGGCCGGTGAACGAACAGAACGATCCGAAAAAAGGATAGAACTGTGTGCAATGCAGAAGAAAATCGCATCCAAAGCTGCAAATCCATCATGTTGAAAGAGCGCAACAACGATCGTCAACCCATTGCCTCATAAGCGATACTCCCACGACATTTGATACCTCAGAAAGGATTGTCAACAGCGGCGGTTGTTCAATTCCTGACGCGAATAAACCCGATTAACAACATGCAAATAGTTTTAATGTAAAGCACTCTTGCGCAGCACGTCAGTCAAAATTTCTTGACCATGCTGCGTTAAGGTTGGCAGTGGCGTTGCAGTTGTCACTATCCTTCAACGCATGTAAAGCGTATTTAATCGCGTGCCGCATGAATAGAGATGTTCTGTCTTGAAATCATATGAACCAGGAATCGCGTGTTATTCCGGTTCAAATACAACTGAAAGACCGGATACAAAGTTTCAAAATTAGCCGGAATTGCTTAACTGCAAAGATAAGTCGTTAGCGGAGTCCTCCAAGAAAATGAGTCAGAACCAGACTTATTTTACAAATCTTCGCAGTGTAGAAGATAGCAAACTCGTATCCAGAAATCTACAGTTGACCCAATTGCACAGACTGTTCTAACCACAGGGGTATTAGCCTAACACTAGTTGTGACAAAGCCACTGGCGTCGATTATCGTTCGTTGCCTCAATGTGGAACGGGAATCTCGGATTATGGAAGACCAGGCAGGTTTCCGCCCAGGGCATGTTGGTGTAGACTACATATTTTCACTTTGCGGCGATATCGTCTTGCTTTTCGACGATGTTGCGGCGGCACAATCAACCCTGAGTAGCCTGTCTAGAGTGGTCCCATTATTTAGTATGCACTTCGCACCTTCAAAGTGCAAAGGGTTGCTGCAGGATCATCAGCCACTTTATGACCCCTTGATCCTTGCTAACGAGCAACTCGAGGTCGTTGATCAATTCACTTATCTTAGCAGCTGCATCAGCAATGATGGGCGCATTGAAACTGACGTCAGGTCACGCATTGCAAAGGCCAGAGCCACCTTCTTGAACCTGCGGCATCTTTGGCGACAGAAGGGAGTTTCCCTCCGTCCGGAAGGTTGTGTATACAAGGCCACAGTGAAGGCCGTTCTGCACTATCGTAGTGAGACTTGGCCCCTTCGGTCTGAAGAGTTGAGGCACCTACAAATCTTTGACTGTCGTTGTCTGCGAAGCATTGCTGGTGTCGGATGGCACCAGCGTATCCGCAACGATGATGTGCGTAGGAGAGTACTAAGTAGTGATGATCATGCTAGCTCTCTATAACAGCAGATAGCACTGAATAAGTTGGGTTGGCTTGGGCGCGTGCTACGTATGCCTGATCACCGCTTACTTAGGAGGGCCTTGTTCAGTCTGCCGGATGTAGGGTGACGCAAAGCCCCAGGTGGACAGAAGTTGATTTGGCACCGGGAAATGAAGTCACTGACGACCAAACTGGGTGCCGTTGGTCCGTCTCGCCTTCCGGACTGGAGTCCACATGACTCACCTTGTGCTTGGCTCGAGAATTTACAGGACATGGCTCGCAACCGACACCAGTGGCGCGTCTGCTGCCGTCTCCTAATCGGATTGCCTGTTTGAAGTGTGTTTGGTGCTGAGTTATCTGCGAGGTAATGGTTGAGTATGACGCGGGGCAGTGAAAGCCGCAAGGAAGTTGTCTCGCCGATGCCGCCTTATCTTTGCACGATAGCCAGCTGATTGTGACGGTATGTTGTCTACACAAGGTGTAAGGCGCCTTGATCCTGAATGTTTGCTTAGGGCATTATGGTTTTCAGGTAATTCCCCCTTCTCTCCCTCTTATTAATCTTTATTGCATAGGTCCTCAAGGTTGTATGGCAGCGAAGCATCAGTTTAAACGGCTGGTGTACTGCTGTGCTGATTGACTGATTAAAGTAGTAATGCAATAATGCTAATTGAACCCCAATCGGGGTCGTGCTTTTTCCTCATTCTTCCTCAACGTTGCGATTGCAGTCCACAAAGGTGGCTCTCACATGTAACCTTCTGAGGCAAGGACTAAGTATGGCGACAGATTGAAAAATTTAAAGCACATTTACAATGTAGTTCCTGTTGAGAAAAAAGCAGTAGTAATGCAAGCATTGTGAATACCATGACACATATCGCAGTACGCATAAGTGTTTTTTTGCCATTGCAAAGCAAGCATTATTGCCACAGGATGAGGGGACACGTGGTCAGACCGTGGTGCCAATGAAAAACTATCCGAGCTGATCAGATGGTTCGCACATGTAAGCAGCTGCAAGACATGAGGAGGCAATACCACCGAGGCTACCGCGTGTATCGCTAAGACCCGCGTGGGTTTCGAAGCGTCAGTCACTTATGAGTGTACGGCGGACTAAAACCTTAAAAGTAATAAGTCTCTTGAGCGACAAGAGCAACTGTGCGAATTTGAGGCAGGACCATGGTGCACCGGAAAAGTAAACGGGCTAGTCGCGTTGGGTACTCGATGGTTGAGAACTGTGGGTGCTTGCTAACAGGCCCATTAGAGCAGCAATGGAGTGTTTGATGAAGTTGAACCGCCCACGTTAGTTAAGTCATAACCGTCTGAACTGCATGTGAATTCGACTGATATCTCAGCGTACAATGTTTGCCAGCAACGCAACGATAAGGGCGAATAATCGCAGTATCTAATCGATAGCGTGACAAAAGGGTGTGAAGATGGGTGCTTAAAGAGAGGAACGAGTTCTTGCGTGGCGTCGCGCGGTCGGCAGCATCAATGGGCAGAAACATCGGTGACGCAGTCGCAAACGCCGCGAGATCTAGCATACACACATTCTTGCCTCGACCCTTCTGTCGAATGTGGAATAACTTTGTCCACTGGTTCATGAGTTAAGTGAACCAAATATACTGCGTTGTGAGGAAGGAATCACAGTCAAACAATAAAACCGAAAAGATCTATTAAGGCAACACTATGCAAGAAACTATGCGCACCGTGATCAGAGACTGAATATGCACACATAAAAAGCTCCTGGGTTCACCTGTTCGCCGAGCGTCGTAACTGATATGCAAACGTTTCATCACCCGACGAGGTGACTTCCTCAGTGCGCTGCTGCGTCAAATGAGATTCGCTGACTTGATCGTCGATTTGGGATCGATCGGCAAGTGGCTTTTGAATTGACCTCGATCTGTGCCTCGTGACCTACGTGCGTTCGCCCAACTTCTGTGGTAAACACGGACGATCCGTGGGATGGTTTTGCCCCGGCTGTTGCGCTTGTGTTGTTGATAGCTTGTTTAGCCGCTCACGACGGTTTTTAAGTTGTTTTAGTTCTCTCATCTTAACGTTTGGTAAACTGGGTCAATCTCGACGTGCATGTGTATCGAGTGCTTCGTCGAGTAGCATGCCTCGAGGAACTCTCTTCCTTTTCGTATCTCTCCTTGTGCTAGGACCTCTGTGTTGTTCCAATCGAAGCGACGTCCTTCGTCTGCATGTAATGAAACCAGTGAGAAAGCCTAGTGATTCTTACAAACTCTCTTATGCTCTTGTATTGTCGTTGGTAGTCACCTTCCTGTCTGACTCACATAGTTCTTATCGCAATCTTGACCCCGTATCTTGTAAACAACATTTCGTCTTAAATGGGCTCCAGATCTAGCTTCGGGTTTCGACAGGGTTCTCGTCAATGTGGCAGTTGGTTTGTGAGCCACGGTATTACCGTGCTTTTGGAATACTCTTGTATTCAACACGGAGATGGTTTTTTTAACGTAGGATAGAAGGATTCGCTTTGTCATTGTTTGAGCAGGTTGAGAGGTCGTAGCATTGTTGTTTAGACATCACCGGACGAAGCTATGTGGATATCCATTTAGGTGAAATGATCTGAATAGATATATTCCAGGAACCTAGGAACGATCAATCCGACCTACCATCGTATCAAGACATTTCAGACAAAGCTACATAATTTGATTTGATGGGTATGAGAGAAATTTGTAAGAACACGAGAAGGAAGACACATAGAGTAACATTTTATGAGGATGGCAGACAGAGTCTAAGATATGGAAAGGTTAAATTAGTAGGGGATGCAGTCGGTGGACAAGATATAAAGTCTCAAGTGAAACGTTAGGATGACTGCAATGAGGAGCGTTATCTGGATAAGTGTTAGCAGTGAAGATGGTAATGAAAATTGAAAAAATGCGAAGAACACTTATAATTCACACCGATAGCACAACTTATGCAACACTTACCTTGCTTTCTTCACTAGTTGAAAAAGAATTTGAGGCAGATTTGGCCTCTGAAACACCAACCATGATCGCAGTGACGCGAGCGTTGCTTGCCTGCGTGTTCTCTTGAACGACTGTGACTGGACTTGGATTGACTGCAGCAAAACTTGGAGACGCCAAGGCTACCGAATTAGCGGGGCAGGTTGGTCCATCGGGATTGCGATTCAAGTCGAGCAACTTAAGAGTAAGGCTTCGAGTAAGATGAGGTTGAGTGACAAATTCATGCTGAGAAAGGGATGGTGGGGGAATATGAATCCGCTTTCAAAAATAATGAACAGATAGTTCATACGTTGCTAGAGATAAAAGTGAAGATAAGTGGAAAAAGAAGTGATGATGTGAGTACCATGTCTGCGATGTCAGTGGTGACCAACTGACTAGGAAATGACGATAACACCATTTCGGCAACCATCCGTGCAACCTCCACTAAATGTGCATAAAGAAAACTTGAGCATACACTATACTTGTGTTGAAGCCACTTTCTTATTATCTAAAATCATCTTTTAAGCTTTCCATATTCAAATTCGTAAGGGGTCTACCAATGCCGATAGAGATTCTATGTAACATCAGATAACACACTGAGATGAATTCGTTTATTAGAAGGGGCAAGTGTGCATGTTCGAAGCAGTACCGGAGCGACATAACCCTCACCATGAAGGGTGGAGCCTACAATGCTTCCATCCGATGAACGCTGCCGTAGGCTTGTGAAAGCTGGCCACCAGAATGTTATTTACGGCAGAGAGGTGTTACGCAATGTCATACAAGTGCGACATAACATATGATGGTCTGAACATTTGTGATAAGCCAATTAATATATGCCACATCGTTCAAGAGCTGGGACTGAGATATTCATGCTCGTCCAACTTCTGCGAACAACTAGCTTACCTCCCTGCAAGACCAAACCGAGCATTGGGATGTTATTTGGAGCATTCTAAATGAAAAAATCTATGCGCCTATTCATCAGTTTCACATACCTATAGGAATACTACTCTATGAAGTTCAGTAGCACAAATAAACGAGACCGCATTGAACAACGAAGATTCACAAAGCGCTTATTAGGTACCTCATAGAAATTAGGATATTCGTACGATGTGGGAGACTAAAACTTCATCCCCTCTGGTTGAGGCGTAAGAAGCAAAACAGAATGGTATTCTTTCATGTGCTGCACAAGAAAATGCATGCTTCCAACATTAACATGGCAATAACACAATCATCAGTATAAGACACACAAAATAAAGAAAAGGCTGTAGTTGGACGCAGGTCGAAAACCACCAGATCCACCAACTTCTTCCTTAACAGATATACTAGAATCTGGAGCAAATTACTATCGGAAATAGGTGCCTGCAACTCAGAGTACGAAGTTCGCAAAAGGACAAATATTTGATCGTGCAATGTGTGATCCGCCTATTGGCATGTAACATAATTAATAGCCAATAATACGAACAAGGCTCATGATTCACTTAGTTTAGAAATAGTCTAAAACATAGAGCATATAAAGCAGCAGGAATACCTATACACTCACCCCCTTCATCTTCTATCTTCCTCCTACACGCCTGCGTCAACCCCAATAGCAAGTACTGGTGAAAAGAAACAAACTGAACGCGCCTCTATATTCTTGTGTCTTCATCGTCAATGTTCTTATAACACTTCTGCAGTTTACGCTTACGTTCCCATTTTCTATGCGTCTCTCCTGCTGGTTACGCTCCGTCGATATGATTCCCATTGGAAATCAGATTTGGTATCCCGCGCGAAAAAGGAGCAAGTGGCTGGACGATTCTGTGGGTATTTGCCCTCTAACTTCTCGTTTTGAGATAAACTCAAAAAGATAGACAACAGCTTCGTACTACAAAATGTTGGTGAGCAGAGCCCGTGCACGAAGCAACCACCTCCGCCTTCAAGCTAACTTCATATATTCCATGGCGTCAGAATAGCACAGAGATGTTTTCAATGGCACTAGGATTCATTACACGCAGTCGCCATTCAGTAACGTTACTGCTCAGCGTCAAAATCTTCCCACTAGAAGCGATTCCGAAATCGACACAACTGCTCCACAAACCTTCCAGCCCAAACGAAGGAAAAAGTAGAACGGGGCACGCAGGCGGTGCATTTCAGGCAAGAATCCGCTGTAGTGGTTGATGAGCCCACAAAGGGAACGCATGGACTGTAGATCTGTTGGTGGAAGCATTTTTCTAATGGCTTCTACGTTTTCCGGATCCGGTCGACGTCCATCCTTATCGAGGATAAAACCGAGGCATTTGATGATCGGCGTGAAAATGTGCAGTTATCCTCACGGATCTGGAAATGGTACGACCGTTTACAACCAAGCACTTCATCCAGGCGGTTAAATAGTTCTTCCGGTGTTCGACTCATCACTATGGTACCATCCAAATATGCAGTGGCTCCAGAAACGTCCGCTAGCATGGTATCCATCAATTGTTGGAAAATGGTTTGCGCCGTTTTTACACCAAAGGGCAAGAGGTTGTATTGGAATAGCCCACGATGAGTGTTGATCGTCAACAACTCCCTCAAGACTTCGTCAACAACCACTTGAAGGTAGGCAGTGGATAGATCAAGTTTAGCAAAACACTTACCACTATTCAGCTTTGCAAAGATATCTTCCGGTACAGGTAATGGGTACTGATGGTCGTCCAGCGCGGCGTTAAGTCAGCGCAGACGCGTACCTTGTCATTTGTCTTCTTCACTGCGACAATAGGTGCGGCCCATGATGAGTAGTTAACGGCTGCGATGACTCCGGCACGTTCCAGTCGATCGAGTTCTTGATCAACGGTTGACATGGCTGCATATGGTACCGGTCTTTTAGCCTTGAACACTGGTTTAGCACCTGGTCGCAAGCTCAGTGTTGCCTTGAATTCCCTACAATGGCCCAAACCATCCTGAGAAAGACAGAGGCAAACTTTCCTTTCAGGGTACATGTCATGTCTTCGACGGACTTTGATGATGGGTCTGGAGTTGCTCGAACTCGGTTGCAGATCTGATTCAAGGGAACATCGAGGAGTTGCAACTTTTCAATTCAGTCGAGACCAAGAAGATTCAAATTCATTCCGGCCTGAAATGTAGTACGTTCCCGACTTTTCCACACCTTTGAAAGTAATCTTGCAAGTAACTTCGCCCACTAAGTTTAACACACCGCCGGATGCATTATGTGCAACTTTCTGAGACTCGAGCATCCTCGGCCTCTTTAGGTGATTCCATGTGCTCTTGGGAATAATCGTGATGTCCGACGCCGTGTCAAATTGCAGTTCCGTTGGGATCCCAATGATTAACACCCTGATAAATCGTCGTCTCGGGTTACACTCACTTTGGAGTGCAGCAACTAAGGACAGAGACTCTGCGCCATCCTTCCTAGAATTTCCCTTTCGACAAGACCTCACTTTCTTTGACCGGACCTGACTGCAGAATTGCTCCTTCTGCCAAAACACGTTTGACAAATATGACGTTTGAACGGACAAAAGTGCGTGAAATGCCATTCGCTGCATGACCAGCATGCTGTGGGCGGTTTGTTCGTAGACCTCTTGAAGGGTTTGCTTCGGTTGACAGTCCTGGCCTTTTTCACGAAGTGCACAGTATCCGGTGATGCGAGACCATTCCGTTCGACCATGTCAGTGTCGTGTTTTAGAGTGAGCAGTCATTTGAATTCGCTTACGAGGGCCTTCAGTGTCAGATCAGGATCCTGCTCCAGCTTAGCTAAAAGCCGCATGCGGATCTCAGCATCACTGGGCGATTGTAGAGCGCTAAGGAAAATGAGACACTTAAACTGATCGTCCGTTAAAGAGTGTAGTTTGAAACGCTCATACTCACGGTTAATCATGTCTGCTAGGGCCCCAAAGTCGTCCGATGCCTGTTTGACAATTTTCAGGCATTGATAGCGAATACTAAACAAGGATACTGACTCACCAAAAATTTCCTTCAGCTGCGACACTACTTCGTCAAACATCAGCTCCTTCGGCTGTTTGCGCAAAATGTGGTCTATGAACCTTGAATGTTCACTTATTCCGAGCTTGCGGAGTAGCAATCACACCTTCCACGAGTCGTCCTGACGAATGAAGTCCGTCCGGCACATATCTTCCCAGCGCCTGAACCACGCTCCGAATGTGCTTCCAGAATCCGCGTCATAACTGTATTCAGTGATTGCATTCGTGAGAAGATTAACAGAACTCGCCTGCATGTCCCACGTCGCTGCTCTTGTCGTCTGCAAACTCAGGCATTGTGTCAGATTTTCGATCATTTTCATTTGTGCCTCCAGTTGAGATTGCTGTTGGAGAAGCAGCTTTTAAATTGTCCAGCAGAAAATTTCATCACATTTCCAATTTCCGCCGTCGGCATTTATAATCCTCTCACTAGATGCGATTCCGAAATTGACACAGCTGCTCCACAAAAGTTCTAGCCCAACCGAAGGAAAAAGTAGAACGACAGTGACCTTGACAAAATAAGGTAGTAATCGGCGTCAGCAAACACTGTACAACTACCGCGGACGTTGGCTGTATTTATGGGTCTCTTACTGACCATCAACTTCTAGAATTGGAAGGTCAGCTAGCAAGGTTGGTGGCTCCCCATAGCTTTTGCCGATGTGTCAGGTGGTTTTCAGTCACGTGCAGAACTAGAACATTCCGGAACTTTCGAAATCGATGCGATAACCGTTACTAAATGATTAATCGCTAAAATAGTGGATTTCCTAGGCCATTCTTACTTTCTGCTGGACACGCAGTTTGGAGGCGCCATGTTAAATGCCATTTCAGGGCAGTACGGATCCATACATCCGATGATCGCAACAGAATCTCCATTGCGCTGTAATCATCAGACCGTCACCTAGGAATCCATGGACAACTCAGGTGCCCTAAGCTGATGGAGTACATCGCTTCGGCTATTCCAATCCGCGCTCGATTAATCAAGCACGTTTGCCAGCGACAATTTATGAGCCTACTCACGTTGATATTTCTGATTGACAGATTAAGAATTCGAGCGAAGGCGACAAAACCTTGAAATTGGCCAGTCCCCTAAAATCAAGAAGGTGAAATCCATGCGGCTTCACACTAGGAAGTAACTAACAGCTAAGCAAGATCTCCAGAGCGACCAAAAATCGCGTCCCAAACATGTACCGCTTATGACCTGATGCGCGTAGTCAATTAGAGTTTGGGATAACGTTCTGTGATTCTGTGTTAGGTTAATCGATGTCAAGGGTTATGTTGTTCGCCGTTTAGCCGGTATCT